GCTTCTCCCTCTCCCACTCCGCCTGCTTGTGTTCCCTCTCTCGCTGTGTCTCTTGCTGTCAAATAAATAAAATCTTAAAAAAAAAAAAAAAGAAAACACTCAGAGATGGTAAGGCTTCCTAACTCAATGTTGGGGGAAGAACCACGATGAGGCAGGGCCATCTTCTGGCAGCACGGGGTACTGCAGCCCGGCTATATCGGACTAAGTGGTAAATATGCCACCAGGAAAAATCCAAGTAGACGAGAAATTGTGGTCAAGGGCAAGATAGGAAGGTTTTATGGACTGACAGCAGACAAACAATGCCACAGTCAGGAAGGTGTCACAGGAATTCCAAACCCTTACAAGTAAAAAGGAAATTGCCTCATTTTGTCTTTGGGGGACAATAGATTCCATTAAGAAAATACCAACTGGGTATTAAAATACCCAGAATGCCTTATTATCTCTTCCTCTTTTTTTTTTTAAAGATGTTATTTATTTATTTGACAGAGAGAGAGACACAGCGAGAGAGGGAACACAAGCAGGGGGAGTGGGAGAGGGAGAAGCAGGCTTCCCGCTGAGCAAGGAGCCGGATGCGGGGCTCCATCCCAGGACCTGGAATCATGACCTGAGCCAAAGGCAGACGCTTAACGACTGAGCCACCCAGGCGCCCCCCTCTTCTTTTTTTTTATTTGACAGAGAGAGAGAGAGCACAAACAGGGGGAGGGGCAGAGGCAGAGGGAGAAGCAGGCTCCCCGCTCAGCAGGGAGCCCGATGCGGGGCTCGATCCCAGGACCCCGAGATCATGACCCGAGCTGAAGGCAGATGCTTAACCATCTGAGCCACCCAGGAGCCCCTATTATCGCCTCTTCAATCTTATTTTCAATGTGTTCCTTCAGGAGATCTCACCCACCCTAATCAGAATACAGCAACCGTTTTATAATGGAATGGACAAGATTCACTTTTCAGAAATGTATTTTACTTGGCCATTAAGAACACATTTCTGCTCCTAAAAGCAAGAAATCCTTGGTTTAACTTTGTCGCACTCCTTTTATTCTCAATTACGTGATAGTCCTTATACCATCTTAGCTAGTGTTTTTCTTTTCTACTTTTTTTTTTTCCATACCAAAATGAAGGCTCGTGGGAGATGGAAAAACCCAGTATAAAAGCAGGACACCCAGAGCGTTCAGATTACTGGCGGTTTTATTGAGTTAGTGGCACACAGGAGTTCTTCCCATGATCAGCGAACGCGGCGTTACGGTGCGGAGTCCGGAGGGAGGAAAGGCTGGGTGAGGGGACAGAAGGGCCTCGAGGCAAGGCCCGGTCCACTCAGTGACATGCGGAGCTCTCTCTAGGGGCCTATCACTCATCTCGGGGGCAACGGAACTCAGGCAGCCCCCTATTTGGAGAGGCAGTGGTCACATCTCATTCCTCCCTGAAAACAAAATGGAGGAGAATGGAAGGTGAGGGCTGGACACTCACGGATAAATGCTTCTCAACAAAGAAAGAACATCCTCCAAAGGAAAATTAGAATTTCCAGAGATTTTTCTGGCTTCGTGCCTGGGCTCTGGCTATAGGAGCAATCGTTCCCAGGCTGGATCTGCGCGGCCTTTTTTCTGGGTCCCAGGGCCCTGCTGGGCAGGGACGGAGCACAGCTGAGGCCTGCGTACTCACCGGTTCTTATGGCGGTATTCCTGAAGGGCTTTCTCTGCCACAGTCTCCATAAATTTAGGATTGTTCCTGGAGACGTCTTCTGGGATCATCACAGTGATGGGGTCGGAATCGAAGAGCTTCACAACCACCTTAGTGACCCCAGTGGGAACGCTGGAGTCAGAAGTCTGGGACCCCACCTAGGAGGAGAAAGGGTAAGAGAAGGACTGAAATATTGGTCAAAATGGACTCCTTTTGCAACAAAAGCCAGGCTCAGATGTGGTCAGGTGACCGCTTTGCTTTTTACTCAGTTTGACATCCGTAACATTCCATGAGCAGGAGGGCCCTAATTCAGAGATGCTTGTTTGTAGGAGTCAATCCTATCTGCAAATGACCAGCCCATGGGGAGCACTCCCAGAGGAAAACTGGTTTTTAAGCCACCATGTTTTCTTTGGGCAGCCCCTGGTTGGGCCAGTGGCAGAAAAGGAATCGGGGCAAGAAAAACAAAAAAAAGCTTCCCAGCACTAGAGAGAGGCTTTCTATTACTGGTAGAGGGTAACACACCAATTCATGAGCCAAGCTACGTGTCACAGGGCAGCGAGGCACCCTCGTGGGAAAAGCACAGGCTTTTCAGCCAGGCAGACAGGTTCTAATGCCTAGGTAAGCCACCTGTCAGTTCTTAAACCTAGGGCAAGCTGTTGAATCTCTCACTTTCTTCAACCATGAATGGGGTCACAATGGGGGCACCTGGGTGCCTGTTGGCATCTGACTCTTGATTTCAGCTCAGGTCATGATCTCGGGGTCGTGAGATCGAGCCCCACCTTGGGCTCCACGCTGGGGCATGGGGCTTGCTTAAGATTCTTTTTCTCCCTCTCCCTTTGCCCCTTTCTAAAAAAAAAAAAAAATGGGGTCATGGCATTCTACACCTCACCGGGAGATGAGGCTTCCATGCATCAATGTACTTCAAAGTTTTTATGTTTCCTGCCATATGGCAAATGCTCGATCCAAAGCTTAAGTGCCCCCTTTAATATCTTCCTCCCATTTTGCTTTCAGGGGAGGGTCACATCGCCGCCAGACCATACCCGCCCCACCGAGCTTCAGTGTGTGGCCAGGACGTGACTCACCGTTGTGACCTGGAGATAGAATGGGTCTTCACTTTGAGTGAGATTAGCCAGCTGGGACACCCAACTAAACTGCTCATTCAGCTGCTTCAGCAGGGAGGACGTGTTGAACATCTTCTCCTGATAGGACTGCAGCAGCTCCTCGTACAGCCTGGTGAACTTCTCAGCAATCTGGAGGGAATTATTAAGTTCCTGTCGCAGCTGGACCTGAGCGGGGTTGTTGGAAGAACAGTCTGCCCGGAGATGGGGAAAAAACAAGGCAGAAATGTGAAGGGAAGGCTAAAAAAGGATAAAAACATGAATGGAAATCAGTTCATGGAGCCAGGACCCAAAGCGGAGATACTCTAAATGCCCAGCCACATGCCGTGTGTCGTCAGTCTGTAACAAAATACAGAGCTCGCCCCAGAATGTAAATCAACACGCAGCTTCCTTCATCGACAAAGTCTTGCTCTGGAAAACACTGGCAACTGGACTAACCAGTGTCCTCTTAGTGACATCACTGATTCACCTTTGGGTGCAAGGCCCTTACCTCCTTGGAGACTGGTGAAAGGACGTTGACCACACTTTGAGAAACACTGATCTCAGTCTATGTGCTCAGACCTGGAGCTACTCTCGCTGTGCTAGTCCCCCGAGGGATCATTTCCGGAGAGAAACTAGGTACCACACACTACTCAGGTGCTGTGGATATCCACTCTCTCCAATAATCACATCTCTTCTACCTTAAGTATTACCAGGGATGAAATTGAGGTCCACAAAAGTAAATCACTTGCTTAAAGACACAGAATGATTTATGGGGCCAGGATTGAATCCAGAGCTTTAACTCTTAAACCGAGGTTCTTCCTCCTCTGAGTCTGTGGCTCTGGAAAATTCTCCAAGCCTGTCTTTTGAGCATATCTGCAGAGCTAGAAATCTAGTGCCAACAGTCCATGACATAGAGAGCTGGCCAGGATCCTTGGTCCATCTGCCCATCATGGCTGGTCACCCAGCTCACCAGGGGGGCAGAGAAGACACAGGGGACTGCTTTGGGTCCTGGAATGCCCACTGCAGGTTGTCTGATCAGTAAGAGCTGGCAACTACCCACTATCTCTTTAAAAACTACTGATTTTCTTTCCCTGATTTTTTTCAAAAAATATCTCAAGGATGGTACATCAAACCCTAGCAAGTCAGGGGAAAACAGATCTTTGCACACTGCATTTACTGTAAAGGATTACCGTAAATGATTATAGTGTATTTGTATTAAAATCTCAAAAATGGGGCGCCTGGGTGGCTCAGTCGGTTAAGCGACTGCCTTCGGCTCAGGTCATGATCCTGGGGTCCCGGGATCGAGTCCCGCATCGGGCTCCCAGCTCGGCAGGGAGTCTGCTTCTCCCTCTCCCTCTGCCTGCCGCTCCCCCTGCTTGTACTCTCTCTCTGTCAAATGGATAAATAAAATCTTAAAAAAGAAAGAAAGAAAGAAGTGCCAGTTGAAAAGCTTGGTGCCTGTCTTTGAGGAGTTCAGTTATGGTCCGCTGTAGGAGTGATGGTGGTGGCCAGAGCTGACCAGGACAAAAAGGCAGGCTGTCCGTTGGGAACAGGTCCCTGGAGGGCGAGCCAGGGCTGAGGCCAAGCTCAGCTCCTCTGGTTAGAATACCCTGTGCCCAGGGGCCATTGGAAGCCCCACCACGGCCAGGTGGCCTCTGAGACACCAGAGAGCATCTGCCTTGAAACAGACGACATCCTTCTCCCACCCCGCCCCTGCGGCATGTACCCAGGTACCCTTTCTGAGTCCCAGGAAACTTGGCAGCTTGGGACCATGGGAGGAGCATGAGCTATGGATTCAAGTGGACCTGGACTCTGATCCTCACCCCTTCATATTCCTGCTGTGTGACTCTGGGTAAATCACTCAGCCTCTCTGAGCTGTGGCTTACCCATGTATAAAGTAGAGCCTCCAGCAACAGCTGGGTTGTTTGGAGGAGTCAATATCGAGTCTGCATGAAAGGTGTTCCCTAGACCTTACTTCCCTCCCTTCTCACAATAGCTTCTGGTGCCCCATCCAAGGGGCAGGATGCAAAGGCCCTGAGTCTGCTGTTATCTGTACCCCCCGTGAGGTGCTCTGAGCAGCTGGGATGGATTTTTGACAGGCAATGAGATGGCAGGGAAGTGACAAGGGACAGGGACAGGTGTCTGGAGAGGGTACCTCTAAGCAGAAGCCACCCACAGGCAGGGAGAAGCCAGACCAAACCTTGTGACCAGGAGTCTTGAGTGATTCCAGGAGGGCATGAACTACCACTGATGTGATTCGAGCCAGTTCAGCTCGCAGGAGCCCGAGCGGGCAGGAACTGGGTTCATGAACGGGGTGCCTGGACAGGCTCCCGCAACCAGCCTCAGGGCCTGTGTCCCCTTTGGGTATGTATCTAAAAGAATTGAAAGCAGAGACTTAAAGAGAGATTTGCACACCCATGTTCACAGCAGCATTATTCACATTAGCCAAAAGGTGGAGGCAGCCCACGGGTCCGACATGTGGTCTCTACCTACAATGGCATGTTACTCGGCCTTAAAAAAGGAAGTTTTGACACAGGCTACATACATGGATGAACCTGGAGGACAAGATGCTGAGGGAAAGAAGCCAGTAGCAAAAGGCAAATACTGTACGATTGCACTTGTGTGAGGCCCCGAGAGCAGTCAAATTCATGGACACAGAAAGCAGAATGGGGGTTGCCAGGGGCAGGGGGACAAGGGCATGGGGAGTTGTTTACTGGGGACAGAATTTCAGCTTTTGCAAGTTTCCGGAGATTCACTCCACAACAACGTGAATATAATTAACACTGCTCAGCATCACACTTAAAAATGGCTAAGATGGTGAATTTAATGTGAACGTATTTTTTGCCACAATTAAGAATGAAAAAAAAACCCAAACACTGAAAACAAGGTAGTCGTCAGTGACAGAGTAGGGCATGCCTGTGGGCTATCCAGAAGGGGCTTCTAGCAGGGTCGGGAGGGTGACGTGGGGACACATCTGCGTCCCCAAGAAGGTTTCTGAGCTCTGGAGAAGGGGAAGCGACAGAGTCCGTAGAGGAGGTTTGTAAGGAACTCAGCCTATGGTTTGTAAGCACACCGCTGGGACTCACTAAATGCTGGATAATAGGATTATCTTTTTTTTTTAAAGATTTTATTTTTCAGAGCGCTCAAGCAGGGACAGGGAGAAGCAGGCTCCCTACTGAGCAGGGAGCCCGATGCAGGACTCGATCCCAGGACCCCGGGATCATGACCTGAGCAGAAGGCAGACGCTTAACTGACTGAGCCGCCCAGGCGCCCCGATAATATGATTATTTATTGCCCCTCTGTGCTGCCCCTCCAGCTCCTTCCTGCCGGGCCTCGTGGGCTGGATCAATCGCTGCTTCTTCTGGCTCCTGTTCACCAGGAAGAAGGAGAGCAGCAACCTCAGCTACAAGATATTCAGCTACGAGTGCCGTTTCAAGCAGCACGTCCAGGACTGGGCCATCCCCAGGTGGGGACTGTGCGGGCCAGGCTGCAGGGGGTCGGGGTCGAAGAGACCCCCTTGGGTCCTTGCCACAGCCCCGGCACATACACTGTCAGCCAGGTTTCCAGTCCTACCCATTATCAGTAGGGGGCACACTGGAGGCTGAGTCCCCTTCTGGCACCCTTGTACCTAGCCGTTCTTCCTGTGAGGGGACACCAATCGCAGAGTGCCCTCTGTTCTGTCAATCCCTCTCCAGCCCCGGGGGTGGGTCCCAGCATATGGGCTTGGAGTGTGGGCCTTCCTGCCCAGCTTCTGGACAGAGCCCGCCTGGCATGCTAGGGGCAGGTACTCTGCCGTTGGAGGGATGCCCGGTGAGGACCTAAGCTAGGTCTATAGCCCCAGAACTCATGACAGCTTTGTCTCAGACTGGTCCCTTCCCTCTATCTCTCTCCAGGAAAAGGGGGTGATGGTGCCCAGGGCTTAGGGGATGCCCCTGTCACTGCGTTGAAGGCCTGAGGCATTACTGTCCCAGGGGGGATATTAGAACAAGTGGAAGTATTACAATCGGACTTTGTCAGAAAAGGAAGAGGCCTGGGGTGTGGGACAGCTATGGCCAGACACCCAAGGGGAGCCAGGGACTGGGTGGGGGTCCAGGGCCGAACCAGGAGCCATAGCAGCTCCTCAGGAGACACATTCTCAGGCTCTCCTTAGCAGCCACCGGCGTGGGCCTCCTTCCACGCAGGGAGCCCCCGTCCCCAGCGCGGGCTGGGGGGCCTGGCAGAGCCCTGTGTGAGGGCTCCCGGAGACCCCTCCCTGAGGTCTGGGTTCTGTCCCCCCGGCCGAGTGCAGAGAGAAGACCAAGGAGGCCTTGCTGGAACTGAAGGCCATGCTGGAGGCCCACCCCAAGATGGTGGCCCACTACCCCGTGGAGGTCCGCTTCACCCGCGGGGATGACATCCTGCTAAGCCCCTGCTTCCAGAGGGACAGCTGCTACATGAACATCATCATGTACAGGTGACCGGCTCACTGGGAGCGGTGGGGCTGGGGCTGGGGTGCGGGAGGCAGCCCCTCCGCTTTGGAAGGACCCCTCTGCTCACCCATCTTTCAGGCGTGCGATCTCGTGTGCTTACACTGGTTGATGGTTCTGAGAGCCTGGAACGCTGTGTTGAGAAGGATTCTGAGGCCAGGTTTAGGTTTAGCAGAAAAGAGGATCATGCTGCATTCGAGCTGTCTACCTGGATGCATTTGCCCATCCGGACCACCACCTCCAGGTGCTGTGCAGATACCGAACGCTCACAGCGGCATTATCTTTTTCCTAGTTAGTTATACATAGCAGTCTCCAGGAGAAGGCTTACGGACACGTGCACAGTTCAAGAAGTTCATCTCTTAAAAAATGTCCTGTAAAATGTGTCTTCCTTCTGCCTCCTCTTCCCACCTGTCATTGATAATAGCCCTCTTCTGACCTCGCAAAAGAAAAAATAGCTTTTGCCCAGCTTGAATCTTACTATGATGTATTTCTCCAGCTTGTAAAAACCTCAAACCTAGAGGATGTCTAAGGGAAGATGAAAGAATGCACTGTTCCAGAAAGGTGTCATGAAAAGCCAGAAGAGAGAGTTTTGGAAAGATGCATTGAATGGGAAGCAGCTTCTTTCACTCAGGGACAGACTTCTGGCTCAACCTTACCTGCCTGTCCCTCTGTCTGTCTTCTCCGTACCTGTGAATGCAAATCAGAAGTGAGAAAGTTGCCATGGGTATGCATCGTGTTTATTTGAATTTTGAGAAGTTTTGACTTAGACTTTTTCTGTCAGTAAGTCTGACTTGGTTGGGCAGTGAGGACTGACTGACTAGGTGATGAGATTTTCTCTCCTCTCCCTCTCCCTCTGCCCTTCCCCCATTTTCTCTCTTACTCTCAAAGGAAGGAAGGAAGGAAGGAAGATTTCCATGGCATTAGAAAAGAAGATGGCATATTTTATATGTTACACCATAAAGATGTGTTCGTGTGTATGTATATTTAAACTCATGGTAATTTTCAATGCCAGCTATAAAATATGTGAGAGAAAGCAACCCTTTATGAAATCCCTCTGGTGATGAGCAATGAGCAAAAACCCTCAGGTTGCACTGCTGTCCATGTCCTGTGGGCTGAGCCACCGGCTTGATCTCTAAACCACATGCTGGGCCTGGCAGGGAGAAGGTACCACATTACTGTGCTGGGATGCTCAGGGCAGGGACAGGGCCTCACCTCCTTCTGCTCCCCACCAGGCCCTATGGCAAGGACGTGCCCCGGCTGGACTACTGGCTGACCTACGAGACCATCATGAAGAAGGTCGGGGGCAGGCCCCACTGGGCCAAGGTAGGATTTGCCAGCGAGAGGCTCACGGGGCCCTCGGCCGGGCAGCTGCTATGAGCTGGGGGTTCCCAGAGGGTGCCTCTCTTCCCTGGTCCTCGGCCTGCCCAAGGCTCAGAAATTGGGATCCAGGGGCTGAGCGAGTCACAGGAAGGAAGGGTTCTACCGCATTACCCAGACCCAGCTGCCCCCTGCATCCATGTTCCAACAGCTCAGTACTTGGTGTACTTGGTGACAACTCCCTTGGAGTGTTCAGAGAAATTTCTCATCCTAAATTGCATTTGATTCCCGTAGAAACCCCATGAGCAGGATAAGGCAGGAGTCCGTGAACCCCTTTAACAGATAGGGAACTGAGAGTCTCTCAGAGATGATGAGACTGACTTACTAATTAGCAGTAGAATTGGGACCAGAGCCCTCTCCACTGTCACACTGGGGGGTGCCAAAGGGAATGCAGAGTTTCATGTAAACACTGTAACACCTTCCTTCTTTACCTTCCCAGAACTTCCTCTCTCCTGTTTGGGTCTCTACATTACGTGTGTGCGCCCACGCGTGCATGCCTGTGCCTGGGTATGTGTGTGCACACGCGTGCACGGGTAGGTAGGGGTGCATTTTGCATGCCTGCCTGCGTGTGTCCGGGGATAGGAGTGTCGTGTATGCAGGTGTACAGACTCAGGGTTGCCCGGTTGCAGTCGCACTGAGATGCCAGCCCCAGGGAATAAGGCCAATTGTGTCTGGTTGCTTCCACAGGCCCACAACTGCACCCGGAAGGACTTTGAGAAAATGTACCCAGCCTTTTCGAAGTTCTGTGCCATCCGAGAGAAGCTGGACCCCACCGGGATGTTCCTGAATGCGTATCTGGAGAAGGTGTTCTACTGAAGCAGAAATGAGCCCACCCCATCTCATCCCTCAGGCCCACCTCCAGTGAGGCTGAAGGCTCAACGTCCCACGGGCCTGGAGGGGAGCAGACCTCTCTCTGCGGGCCCTCTGCTGCCGACCAACCCCAGCCATGAGCCTGGATCTGCGCAGGGCTCCTTGTTTTCCTAATTTCTATATCTTCACAACAACCCCACGCAAAGAGCACCCAAGTCTCCATGGACTTCATTTATATGCGGCAGTCCCTTTTCCTGAACCTACAGTCACCACATTCTGTTTTCCCAGAAAATAGAGAAACCCCAAAATGTTACGCTTAAGAGGTTGGGGATTCGGTCATTCACAGGTTCCGCCTTCCAGCTAGGGGTCTGTGACTCCCGGGCCCCTAATAACATGTGTTTGGGCACAGTTGTCGTGTGTACTTCCTCCTACACCTTTGAGGGTTTCTCAAGTGCTCTGGGGCTGCCCTCTTCCAGTTTCTGTCTGTCCACCTGACTTCCATCACCTGACCTTCAAACGTCTATTTCAGGGGATGTGTGGGGAGTGGGCCTACTCCTCGCCTTCTTTAAATAAAGACCAAGAATTATTCACTCTCTGCCCCCCACCTCTTCATCTCCACGTTATTCTTTGGGAACAGGAGCCTCACTCGTTTCCTGGCTTCCCTCCAGAGGTAATGGTCTTGGGCCTGCCTGGAAAATGTTCTTCATATCCTTTTACAAATTTAGTTCCAATTGGCCTCTGACCTATCAGCCTCTGGGGCCATTCTTTTGTGAATATTCACTGAATATCTACTAGGGTGTCAAGTGCTTTGGGGAATTGACAGGACAGTAAAACAGTTCCTGGCCTCAAGAAATTGATACTCTAATCTCAAAATTCAACAACCAAAATGTTTAAGTGGGCAAAGGACTTGAATAAACACGTCACCGAAGATTTCCAAATGGCCCATGAGCACAAGAAAAGATGCTCCACTAATCATTAAGGAAGTGTAAACAAAAACAATGAGATATCACTTTATACCCATTAGGATCATTATTATTTAAAAAAAACAAGTGTGAAGGGCGTGGGAAGAACTGTTGGGCTTCACTGGTGGGAGCATAACCTGGCGCAGCCATTCTGGAAAACAGTATGGCGGGTGCTCAGAAAATTAAACCAGAGTTACCACATGATCCAGCAGTTGCACTCCTGGGTATATGCCCAGAAAAACTGAAAGTAGGGACTTGAAGACAGATTTGTACAGCATGTTCAGCAGCATTCACAACTGTCAAAAGGAAGAAGCGAGCCAACTGTGCACAGATGAATGGATAAGTAGAATGGGTAGTATACACACAGCAGAGTAGTGGTCAAACTTGAAAAGGAAGGAAATGTTGACAGGTGACAAGATGGATGAACCTCATGGGCATCATGCTAAATGAAATAAACCAGGCACAAAAAGACACTGTGTGATCCCACTTAGCATAGATTCATAGAGCTGGAAAGTGGGAATGGGGGTTGCAGGGGGCTGGTGGTGAGGGAGTGGGGAGTTACTGGGGACAGTTTCAGTCGTGGACAATGAGAAAGTTCTGGAGATGGACGGTGGTGATGGTTGAATTAAGCTTAGGGTCCTTCTGAGCACCACACAGGTCGTGCCCTCCCTGGCCCCCCCAAGTGTGTATGACAGGCGTGACAGCTCGTTTTATGTTGTCAACTAGACTCCAATACTGAGTTATTTAATCTAGGTATTGATCTGAAGATGTTTTGTACATGTGGTTAATACCTACAATCAAGTGACTTGACGTAAAGGAAATTACCCTAAAAAATGTGGGTGGGCCTTGTGCAGTCAGTTGAAAGACTTAAAAGCAAAAATTGAGGTTTCTGGAAGAAGAATGAATTCTGCCTCAAGAGTTTCTGAGTTTCCAGACTGTGGGGCTGCCCCACGGATTTCAGGCCTGGGAAAATAATAGCCGACTTCTTGAATGGGTATGAACTGTGCACTGGTTCTGTTTCTCCAGAGGACGCTGACTGATACATAAGGAATGAGTAAAGTTAATAAAAAGAAAAGCATAGCAGGCAAAACTCTGAGGCTTTGGAAATCCAATCACTCTCAGGTTCTACAGAGGAGGAAACCTAGGCTCAGAGAGGTGAAGGAATTTGTCCAACATCACACAGCAAGTTAGGAAAAGCAGTGTCTTCAAACCTTTCAACTGAGGTCTGTCTTGCAGCCCTACATTTTTGAGAGTTTGAATTTCATTTCTATTTTTTTTTGAATTTTATTTTTTTGAATTTCATTTCTAAAATCTACAGATGTTGCATTCTATTTCATTATGTAACTGTGTTTTAAGGTTTTGAGTAATATTTTACTTTCCAAATCTTTAAATGACATTTCCGCTCTAGGAAAGAGTGGCACGTTTGTTCTGCAGCGGGAGAAGTACACATACTGAGGGACACACAGCGCAATGTCTTAAGTCTGAAACCTTGAGATGCAGTAAAACTTCAAGTCCTGGAATGCTAGGGCAAAAGAATGTTGTGGAAATAGACTTTCTAATTATCCGAGAACTCAGATGTCTTTTCTGGCTCAGGCTTTTGATGAATATAATTTACTCTTCCTTTCATTTGGGATCTTCGGATGCCTGAAGGTCATCCTTCCCAAAAAATTATCATTGCAGAATCCTTTCGATATTGAATGTTGTGTCCCGCAAGCCATAAATTGGGCTCCTGAGGGCATCGCTGATACAGATCCACTTTTTCTCTCCTTCCCGATTTCCTCCTTGCCACTTATGTCTCAGATTCCCACTGGCTGGCCTCTCTTCTCTCCCAGTGGAAGCCTCAGGTCGCAGAAGCCAGCTCTGCCTTCTGTGGCAAACACTCTCATCTCAAGAGATTTGGAAAATCACAGGTGCTGAGGCCCCAAACCTGTGCTCTGACGCTGGGCTTCTAACAGTGGACGGTGATTGCCCACACCATCTCAAGAGACAGATGGAAGGTTGAGGAATGGCGTCTCCCTTGGGCCCCTGGGAAGCTACATTATGACACAACATCAGGGCCACCGTTGGGCCATGAGGGCTCTCGAGGTTAAATCTGGGGTGCGAGCTCACCAGCCAAAAGAAAAGGTGCAAATCTTACCAAGTGGAGTAATTGAACTGTGGGCGGCTTCTCCCCTCGGGGTGGCCACCTGGCCCCTCGCCCCACAGGGGCACAGCTGAGAATGGGAGGGGTCCGCGTGAGCTCTGGGGGTCTCAGAAGGGATGCACCTCCGCCCAGAAAGTCTCCCCAAATGCAAAGATGTGAGACATTTAAAGGCCCAAGACAGATGCCCCCTCACTTCACTTGCAGGAGTCTCTGCACGGGGATAACGCCAAATTGGCTGAGTCAACCTGGCCACCTGCATGGACAGGGGCAAGAAGATAGACAAGGGGGTGCATAGGTAGGGCTGACTTGAGGGAGGGGACAGCGAAGCCCACCCGCCTGGCCGCCTGGCCGATAGAGCTGCAGCAGAACTGGTCCTTCTCTCAGGGTCGGCACGCACAGTCAGCCCCAGAACAGGGACTCATGGCGCCCCCTGGTGGCAGCTGTCCGGAACCAGCCAAGGTACCCAGGTGGAAACAAAGCAGCCTGTGCCTGGCCTACACAGGGGTGGCGGGCTAGTCCCCAACTTTAAAGGGGCCAGGAACACCACAGGGAAGGGAGCAGACCCTGAGGGAAGGGAGCCACTGGGGGGTTGCTGAGAGGGAAGGGTTCTCTATGCAACCCTACGTTTCAAATTTAGAAGAGGTATCTGGGCACCCTACAAGGAAGATCTCACTTGTAGGTCTCCAGTTACTAAAATGCGGCCAAAGGCAAGAGCTATCCAAGGAAGGGAGAGTGGAAGCTGGAAAAATAGCTACAAGCACCCTAATCCCAAGGGTCCTTGAGGGACCCCCCCCCCGGACTAAAAGGGAAGCAATGCAATAAGGCAGGGTCTGAGCAAAGCTGTAAAGACTGCCTTATCTTGGTTTTGACCCTGGTTTTCTCCCCCATGTGGCAGGTCCTTTCAGAAGATCAAGTGACATCTAGACATTTCCAGAAAATTATCAAAATGTGTTTTTGTTTTTTTTTTTCACTTTTGACATCCACAAATGAATGTCTTTACACACGCAGAGCTGGCTAACACTGTCCTGGGTTCAAGATCATTGCAGGCTATTATTTTAAAGGCCAACAGCTTGTGCACTCCATGCAGGTGGGCTGGCGATTGGATGCAGGCTTGAGTTTGGCAAATGAATACCGTCCTTTGACGCTGTTAGCTCATCTCTGATTTTATATACGTGAAGTCATACGCAAAGAGGTCCAAAGTCTTCTTGTGGATATAAGGCTGAATGAAGTAGGTGGTCCACCCGTCACCCCACCCCTGCGACACGTGCCTTCTTTGAGGTCAGACTGAGTCAGGTATTAGTTTTTACTGAATTGGGTACCAGAGAGGGACTGAGATCAAGAGGAGGTTGTGGGCGCATGTCTGGTACTAGTTCAAGGTCAGCGTCTTTGCTTCCTGGGTTGCTGGAGGCAACAAATGAGGGCAGTCCGGTAATGGGATTATCCTCTCCGTCCCCTTCCTAGCCTGAGTAAGTGCCTCCCTGACCCTGGAGTGACCCAGATGGGCTGAAGGCAACTGTTGACCATCAGGGAACCGGCCCAGCTGCTGTTGCCCACCCTGCTCTGAGCCATGTCATAAACGAGGAGGATTATGACCAAGGGGTTGAGAATATCCCAGAGGCATATGGAGAGTCCATTATTCACCTTGTCCATTTGTTCCCTGAGGTCCGGCTTTTACAGATTGTGCACTAACTGATTTGCCAATCATCGGTTACCATCGGTTCTATCAATCAGATCTGCCGACCCAAGTCCTTCCCACGCTGTCTTTAGAACTATTTAATATTTCCTGGGTTTGCCGAGCTGCTCTCTCACAGCTAGCAAATGACAGGCAATGCTGGGTCTGGATAGGAGATTAAGGTGGGAGGCCCGAGCCACTAAAGGGTGGTGGTGAGGTCCCCACGAGCCCCGGAATTAGACCCGAGTTCGGTCCCAACTCTGCCACTTTCCAGCCGCACGATTGTGAATAAATGGTCCTCATTCTCTCTGTACCTTCACTGCTAATGCCCTCTCCCCGGCACACTCCAGGTCTGGGCTCCAGTCTGAGCCTCGTGCTTGATCGTGGCTAAGAGCTCCTGGAATCTGTCCATTGTGGAGTTTCAACTCATTTAGGGGCACAAACATGAAATAATCGTATTCATTCTAAGGACTGTTCCCATCACTAAATCACATCTCAATCACACTGTTCTACTTCCTGGAAACATCACAGTTGGGAAAACAGCCGGTTTTATTTACTTTAGAATGTCAACTAACATCGTAATCAAAACTCTTCCCCTCCCCCATCAGAGGTGGGGTGAAGGAGGTGAGGGGCACACTCTACCCTCTTACACACTCCCCTCCCACACACCCCTGCATCCCAGGTTCTGAGAGTCCAGAGCAGAGTGGGAAGGGGCACGGTCTGGCTCTGGACCCTCCGCCCCGCCACTCTCTATGCTCAAGCTGCCTGAGGTTATCTGAGGCAGGGTGGTATCTTGCTCTGATCACTGAGACTGCTACTG